TACTAATTGTGACCTGTAATCAGCGGCCGATAGAGAACTTTCTTTCCCGTTTATGCATATAAGTTCAAGTTGACACTCTATATGTGTAGCACATAAAAGTAGAGAGAATAGTGAAAAAGGGTTTCAAAAAAGAACTATAATAAGCGCCATTGGGAACGATTTTAAGCCACTTCACCAATTGTCTCCAGTCATTAATTTTTGGCACCTCGAGGACCCCAACTATGTGGCTGGCACAAACCAGCTGTCAAGGTCTTCATGCACCACTCCTAACTTTTTTTTTCCAACTCAATCGTATATCACCTAACTTTGATTGTCGATGAATGCGGAGGCACGGCATGCACAACACGTGTTCCAGTTATCTCAATTGATTTAGCTTTAAAACTTCATCGACTCACTTACCCTTCTTATCTAACACTCTCTACGCCTAACCTCGCTATTGTTCACCATAGTATACCGCTCAACACGAGAGACAAAACGCAAGCATCCATGGTCAAAGACAACTAACCTTTTCGTATCTTTCACTTTCAATGACTATATCTCACAGTCATAAAGAAGAACAGAGCGAACTGCTGTGCAGTACACACACACATCCCGTGATCGACAACCAGCTGAATATCATGTCTACACCAGAGATGGCGTAAGTTTCCAAATGTCACACGAATCATTTTGTGGTACAATAATGAAGACGACTCCACTGAATGAATAAGGTTAACAATTTTCACTGCAGACATCTTTGAACCTTTTTACCAACCCCACCCCACCTCCTCAACGCATTAAATGGGTATATTTCAGTATGTAATAATGTTATACCGTGCATTAGCTTCTGTATATATATATATATATGTATATATATATATGTTCTTACATTTAGTCTTTTTTTTCTCTTAACATTTTGTCGACAGTGTAGTTGTCTTAGCAACAGACAAATGTTGTTGGCCTTTTTTCTCTCCTGTTTTGTTTTCTTCCTAGACACGTTGAAATTGACAATACAAAAGAGTGAAAATGTTTTTCTTCCCTGTATTTCTCTTTTCCTTCGTTTTGTTTTGTGGCAGACAAAAAAATACCGTTAAAGTTTGGTCGTAGAATGATTATGTCTGACTGCAAGCGTTGCACTTTTCAAGTTATATAACAGGATAAGGAAAGAGAGAGATAGAAAAAACATGGATATTCCTATGAATAAAAAAGGAAGTATGTAGGATTGGTATATATAAATAAGGCATTTTAGGCCATATTTCCTACTATCATCACCACCCAATGATTTAAGGTGGTGGTCTCCTGAAAATTTTTTATTCAAAGCGGTTTACACAATCCCTTCACATATTATCTTAGGATTTATGATATTTGACTTTTTCTTAAGCCCTTTTTTCAGTTATTTGCTATTATTTATAAGTGTGTAAAAATCATACTGGTGTAGGTAATACCTTGTGACGTTATAACATTTAAAAATGGCGCTTTTAACAACAACAAAAAATATGTAATTGGCGGAATTCAATGGCTGTATTGGGATAACTATTGAGATTTTTTTTTAAAGATTATATTCATGAAAAGGTGTTGATTTAAAAAAACTAAGACAAAACTATGAAACATGGAAAGTTTGAGTCATTTTATCATTGCCTATCTCCTAAGGTTTGATACTCACCTAGGCTACTCACCACTCCTAAGCTTGGAAAAAATAGGGAACGTTGGGCGTGGGCTAGCATCCGACTCCCGGAAATTTAATCCAGTCACTATAGAAACTACAACACACAGAAAACATATCAAAAATAAACTTATTCTTCACTGGAATTGTAAAGACAGAACGATATGGGCTGATGAAAGCCTTCGTGAAGCCAGTTGGCTGATGTGTCTTTTTTCGGTGAAAGCGGAAACACGCATGACGACATGGAATACCCTGCACAATGTTTGAAGCTGAGAAGACTACACAGATTACCAAAGAGCTGAGAAGATACGGTATAGAAGTGCTCAAAATCTGAGAGCAGATGAAATGGAAAAGGACTCCCTGAATCGCTAACTGGGAGGGAGAATCAGTAGTCTACTCTGGTCACCCAGACGCGACAACCACATACACACTGAGGTTGAAGCCATATGTTCCACTCGGAACCTAAGGGAATAATGATGATAATAATACTGTGAAGACCAGTGCTCACTGAAGTGACAGTATAGGGAAAACACGCATAAGTTAATGTAGAAATACTGAAAACTTAATTACGGGAAAGTGTTGATTCATTGAAAGTATGTAAAATTTCCCACAGGTATATGACAATGCGTAGATGAAATCTGGCAAATAGCTCAGTGAAGCAGATAATAGTGAAACGTGGTCCACTGAAGGATTAATTATCTAGACCCAATACGAACTGAAGGAACGGTTATATGTATGCAATAGTGAGTCATAACTGACAGCATCTTGTCATATTAGACGTCACTGCTATTTGGAGAAGATCATAGTATCATTGTATGAGGAAGACAACAGCTGTTCAAAGGGTTTCTGGCTACATCTTCTTTCCATACACAAGGAGAACTCTGAACTCTGTGTACAAAAGCCTTTGTTTCAGTCCTTTTTACTACTGTGACCTTAAAACTTTCCTTTTATTGACTTGTATAGTAGTTTTGTATGTAATCTATATTCATTCGTTTTGTTTAAAACTCCTAAAACACTTTGAAAAAGTACTTTCTACATATTCTGAATTTCTTATTCTTATGAACAATAATCCTGTTTCCAAACGTTTAAAATTTTAATAATAATCCCTTATGAACACTATTTGCTTCGGTGGTTGGGCGATAGAATGTTCGCCAAACATGCTCGATTCCCGTCCGACGCACTCCTAAACCTCGCGCACCTAGCCACAAATAAACCCAGTAAAGAGAGAAGGATAGGAGCGAGGCTAGCAACCCTACCTCTTCAAAAAGAATAACACTGATGCTACTGAAACTTCAAAGCTCACAGCTTGAAGCCCCATGTTCCGCTTGGAACGCAACGGAATAAAAATCGAAACACCATCCACCACATAAGATCGTCTAACCAAATTTCATAATTTACCAGTTTCCTCCCTGGCATACAATTCGATTTGGTTTGACACCAATCGGCAATAATAATTGACCTCTATTGGCATTTTCAGTAACGTTTTAGAAACACTATTTAACTGTACAGCTTTGATGAGGACATACGAAAGGAATATTCTTTGTTGACCTATATCTTTTCAAATATATTTCATATTCTATTCAGTTATCTGGTGATGATAGATATTTTAAATATCCTTAGACTATAAAGTACTTTACATTCATTTGGGTTCAGTGTCTTTCAGTTAAAGACTTACGTATCTTATTCTTTGATTTAACCTTGAGGTCGACAAAATAAAGTCGATCATTCACTTTTTATTTCACGAGTTGGTTGTTTCATGGAAAAATATTCTCCAGTCGCGCTAGAGCTTGGGATTCAATTCCCACCCAATGCACTTCTCAGCCTCTCCTAATTCACTAACCGGTAGTAAGGCTGGAGAACAGCGCAGGTTGGGTGTGAGGCTATAGGGACCCCATGGCATAGAAAGGTAACACCAGCTAGCTACACTGGCTAGAACTAACGTTCTTAGAGATCTTATCATGCCAGAAAGATAGCGATTAGACCAAAAGCAGTTGTCGGCGTAGTGTGTAATTTTTACATTATGCCGGGGAAAAGGGGGGCAGCAGTAGTAAGTTGTTTCTCTCAGATGACCAGTATGCCACTCTGGAGGCGAGGGGTATAGGAGAAATCAGACCCTAAACATTGTACATCCCGACTTACCCTACGCGGTCCGTAGTCGACGGCAAATTACTAATACGGACACATCTCTAAAAGGCCAGTCCAAACACGCCGTATGTGACCTGCCTCAAGCTGTTATCCCACGGGCTCTGCGGTCACGCAACACCAATTCTCTTTCTGTTTCAGGTACCCCCTCTAAATAATCAACTTCCAAGGTGTAGGCGACCGGGAAGTAACTACCGCCCACGCGCTTGCAAAAGCAGAGAAAGCAACTTATAGTGATATCTGCTACACTTTACTCTTTAAAGTATTTCTAATGAAATATTAGAATATTTCATTTTAAAATAGAGTTGCGGGAGGATCTTTTTTGCAAAAGTTGAAAAAGATGTCCCCTCAGCTTCATTCTGGAATACCTGACTGACTCTGAACGCCAAGAGGACCCGCTAACCAACTTCAGAATCATCTATAAGGTACACGGAAATCTTATCAAAGGAGGAGTACGAATCAAATTTCTTCAAATAGCAGAAGCAATGACAGTTTACATGTTAAATCCTGAACTCTGCATACATAAGACGTTTGTTCAATCACTGAACCTACAATGAACTTAATTTCTCCTAATACTTTATACATAATTGTTGTTAATCTTAATATTTCATTTCATGTAACATTTCGATCAAGAACTCATATCCCCGACAGAATTCAGTCTCCACCAAACAAAGGACTAGACACATGACACTAGTTACTACCTAGTGTCTAATCAAAGTATCCAATACATTCCTAGAGGAGGTCGATAGTGAGCCTGAAAAGTTTAGTGGTGATATCTCTGGTGACTGTAGCACTCACTGGATGACACAGCTTTGAATCTCAGAAGGAAAACGATTTCCTTCAGGATTGCAGATACACCTTGCTGGACTGTTGAATGCCAACAAGCACTAAATCTAGGTTCATCAAGGCTTCCTACTGATTGCCTCCAACCATCTAATAACAACAACAACAACTGAGAATGCACAATGATGGTGAGCCACTTAGGATAATGGCCATATTGTAAACTTGACTGATAGAATTCAGTCTGCACTAAACAAAGGAGTGTATGCATGGCGTTAGTTACTAAATAGTGGCCAATAAAAGTGGATAAGTCTATGTATGAAACTAGATGGGAATTTACTAGTAGCCTAGTGATTTAAACAGACCGCTTGAAATATTATGCAACAATACTAATCATAAGTTAACTATGTTCTTCTATTTTATTTATTTTTAATTTTAGTTTTCAACTCCACAAGCTAGACGAATTTCAAAAATTAATCCATCAAATCTACGTGTTACAATCACATCTAGTTTAGGTAAACGTGGTCGAAAACGTTCAAGACATCGACGTCGAGCTTCTTCTGCATCACCATCAAGAGATTTTCTCCTACCCACTGGCTCTGAAGATGAAGAAACCGATGATATACCTGAATTAAGCGATTTCAATCATCAATCGCACAATGTTGTACAAGTACAACAATAAGTACAATACCTGTAACTCATGAGACGATACATAGACAGATAAACTTGGTTCCCAATTATCCTCTTGGATTTCGGTGAAACCTACAACGCACACGCACACATACACACACATATATAGACAAACTTCGTTGAAAAGTGCAAGATAAATCATTATCACTTTATAAATGCTGTGACTTTATATTAATATTATTATTATTATTTCAAAACAATTCAAGAAAACCATATGTCTTTCGAGCTTTTATGTGCATTGATAAAACAGATTAATTTATTCAATGAAAAGTACTCACTTCTAGTTGTCCCATCTGCCTACCTGCCTGCCTGCCTTTTGATATGACATATCTCCCTTAATTATTTCATTGTTTATTTATACCTCGTTTTGTTTGTTCTAGGTGTACTTAGTTGTGTAAAAAAATACTTTCCCCCCCTCCTGTTACATACATGTAGTGGGGCTAGGGGTAGGTGGTAGATGGGTTGGAGTATTCATTTTTCACACATTATTATTATTATTATTATTCTCATCATCACAACCCAACATACTTATAGCTATACATTCACTTATATATTTATACCTAAATCTATTCACTGTATGTCAATAATGTCCACTTTCTAGGTGAAGTTATCGTGTCCAATCAGAATAGCTTTTGATCGCGTGACTTATACAACAACAACAACAACACCAATAACAACAACAAACAATAAAATAAAAACGAATATATATATATATGTAAACCTACACATATGCTGTTAATTTCCTTGGAACATTTTTTAATATTAATTATGATATTATTGATTAGCAAACAAAGGTAACAACAGGATTATTATGCTATCGAAAATTACCAAACATAAAGAATAAAGAAGTAAATAAGTGACTTGTGAGGCAATTCATGTTCTGTGATAAAAAAACAATTATCTGAGTTGTTGAACACGTTGAAAAAATGATTACGATATGTATTCAAATATATACATACGCATATATTATTGAATGTAAAATTTCGCATAAAACTATTATTATTATTTTTAATAAACTCTTCAGCTTGAGTGATTTGTGTCTTTCATCAACTTAAAGATAAGAAAATGGTGGAGTGGTGGGAGAACCAACCAACCAACAGCTTTTTCTCCTAACTAATTACATAATCATCCTAAAATCGGGGCAGGGGGGAGGCATTACCCCCGCCGTCTCCTTTCTCGCCACTCTCCCAACTCCTAACCACCTCCTTCCCCCGGCCACTTCTCAGTTCAATTCATAAATATAAATAAACAATTTACACAAAAGTGTGTTGATATGAGAAAAAATAGACAACGCCTCTTGTGAAACTTTTAATTACACCCTTCCTCCTTTTTACCTATCCAACTTTGTATTCATTAAATTGTTCTTACTTACTTATTTATTTATTTACTTATACACACTTACTCACACTTGAAAGATTGTTCAGTCCTGCTTTCATGATGAAACAAGAAATGATAATAATAAATGCAATATTTTATTCTTAATCTCATGGATTGTTTTTGAAAAAAAATAATTTCTTGGCTATTTTTATTGTTGGTCATAATTTAGAAAAGTGATGATGATGAATATGCCTAAACTGAAACTAACTATCTACTACAACATGATTGATTGAGATGTGTAGTTGTATACTACTCACATCAAGCAGCAGCACTAGTGCTTGTCAGGCAGATAGGAAGGCCGAGCTCATCACTGGTGTGTACCTGGTTCACCTCAGCTTGACGAAAATCTAACAATTGAAATTAATTTTCAAGAGTTGGTTTGTAAGGATTAGATTTGTTTTTTCCGAGTTTGACCCAAGGGATTGATATCACTTAGAGAAGTTGTGACCAGTGAGGTCCAACCGGTCAAGTGTGAGGATGGATTTCCCACCGATGACATTGGTTGGTGGTCGCGCTAAATCACGAATTGGTGAAAGTTAGAATTCATAAGCCATTGAATCGTTCCCAATGGCTGAATGGTATACGAGCTTGCCTTGTAACTGGAATGTCCTGGGTTCGAACCCTTGTGGTGGGTGCGTACTGCCGATGATTCCCAAACTAGGATGAAACGGCTGTCCAGTACTCCAGTGCTGGTTTTCAATGGTTCTCTAACTGATATCAATCCGTGGTCAAACTCCTAAAAGTTGAAATTAACCCAAAATCCCTACCATCCTACAATCTGAATATCATCTTAGGGAGTTGAGTAGACTCAAACCACCTGAGTTTTAGTTCGCTATTTGGGCGAATTGGTGATACGACAAATCAAATTCACAATTTGTAAATTAATTTAGAATTCGCACTGTTCAAGGAAGTGAATTTTGTCACAGTTTCTTTCGCATCTGATTGGCAAACACCGCTGGCTGATATGAGTGCTGTTCAACAAACTACTTATCTCAACCAATCAGTAGTATATCGTTTGGTGCATTCACACTTGGTTTCCTGATCGCTGTTTATGGTATCAAGCAGATCAGATATTGTGTGTGTGTGTGATCCGAATAATTTTGTTTGAAAAAGAAACAATGGTAAATTGATGACCTCGAACTGTGTAAATTGCTAATTAATTAATTCATGAAAAATTCCTATTGTAACATATACAAAATCACAGCAAGTGATTCAGCGAAGAGACTCTTTTCAACAACGAATTTAATATCAAGCTGTGCCATCGTATGTAAATGGCTTTCAAGAAATTGTATCCGGTGAGAGAATTGAATCATAGGTGTGAATGCATAAAATAATACTAATAGTAGTATGAAATGCAATTAAAATATTTGTAATTATAATCATAGTTAAATGTCAGGTGGTAAAACAATTAATGTCAAATATAGAATAATTCATAGGATGAATAGAACTTGGAAGGGGTGTGTGCTTGTGGGGTTAGTAGGCAAATCTAATAAAATAAGAACGTTACGTAACATTGTGTGAAGTTTGATAACATAGAACTTAACGTTGCAAAACAGAATTGATTTAGAATGACAAGTGGAACGAGTGAAATAATATCGGGGACAATTCAAAGTGAGAATAGTAATAATAACAATTGACGCGATAAAGGAAGAGGATACAAATTGAATAAACAAAACGAAAAATAATTAGGGTAAAAATATGATTAGGGCTTACGATACGTTAGCATAGAGGGATTAAGACCATGAAAGTTGGAGGGATTGAACGAACGTTTTCTGCACACAGAGATCTGACTTTTCTGTTTCGATAGCCAAAGCTTCAACAATACAGATGAGTCGGGTACGTAGTGATTTGAGTGAATTACTTTTCGCCTTGTAGATGGCTTTAAAGGCAGAGGCTATAGAGATTGGGTGATCATTGTCGACAAGATGTTCAATGATCGCGCTTCTTATTGCTCTACTTCCACCTCTTCATAACCATGCAGGATAGTGTTCTTGCGAATTTGCGAATTTGATGAATATGCCTATTGCACCGAAAACAATGTGTATTACACATTGACGCGTTTTGTGGATTTGGTTTTTAGTGTAGTTTGTAGTAATGAGTTATCTAGATGACCATTGTACCCATCACCATAATATTTCTTTCACTCTTTTATGTTTCTAGTGGCAAGTTAATATAACTGTACTACACTGTGTGATTTATCAAAATAAAATCTTATCCATTATGGAATTATACTCTACCACAGTGCCCAAGTTTTATACTTATATCAATAATGGCAAGTAAACTAGTTAAGGTTTAGGTGTGCGTCGGTGGCCGAGAATTGGATCGCCATCATTTATGTGTCTGGCGAGCATTCTACTGACGCAGCATCATCGTGTTTTGACATAATTTAAGCACAGAACAACAGCGTACAGTTAATCAAAAAAAATTTATATTGAGGATATCTGAGGGAAACTGGGAATGTTTACATAAATTGAGACCGGAAACAATATTCATGGGGGTGTGTTGACCACTCTTCACTTATTTAGAAGTTGTATCATCCCTAATAGACTGATTGTTGACACAATATCAACTCGGATATAAAATGCTGGTCTCGCAGTCGCCAACTTGCTCCATCTTCAACATAGACGTGATATACGGTTATAGATCAAAGGATGTTCATATAATGCACAGCGTCTTGCTCCGTTCTTTTTCATGGCAGTAAAATAGATCTGTGGAAAGTGGAAGATAAGAGAAGGCTGAGTGCTATTAATCATAGATTTCTGTTCACGATCTTTTGTGTTAGGGGCAATATAGTGAGTAAGAATGAGGTGGGAGAGTCAGTTGATGAAGTTATGAAGCAGTATTGTTTGAAATTGTGAAGACAAGTGTTCTGCATACCAAATCATCACCTTGTTAAGCAATGTAATTAATATAGGATAGAGTTGGTCAAACCAAAACATGCCAACAATCTATGAATTCTTCAACTGTTGGTTTAAGCCCCATAGGAAGGTGTAGATTGGCTGACTTAGGTTCACGAGACTCTAAGAATCAATGACTAAAGACCGTTGGTAATAAAGCTCTAAATCATTCTCACAGTAGCGCAGATGCATTCAACCTTCTGTGATCTCCCGGATCTTTTAGACTCTCACTATTCCCCATGTAATTATTCTTCCTGTATATTCCCTCTTTTTATAGTTTCTCTGAATTTTTCAACCTTTATGTGTGCTTTAAAAGCGCAGCAACTCCAACTAATGTGCGTCTGTTCAAAGTTTTATGTTGAAAATACAGTTCAGAAAGAAACTAGAAATGTTTAGAGAGACTCAAGTTGGAGTCGAAATAGATCCATACAGCTTACTATAGAACAGAGAATAAGTATATCCAGATTAGACGGTTTAAAATGTCCCAGGTGGATGTGTCCGTCTGGTAAATAATACTGCCATCTTTACTTGGAATCTGTTTATAAATGAATATATTTGATTTTCAGTTTTCGATTTCTTCATTTAGTTTAAGTTACTACTATCTTTACGATAGCCAAAATTTATCAAACTTAAGATCTGAGAGATTTTATTGATTATATACTATTATTCATCCTTTGCGTTCCGAGTGGAACATGGGGTCACGGAAGCACATCTCTATTACACTCGATTCTCTGTTAGCACGTTCGATTGGCTCCACGAACGTCCACAAGCTTGCATTTCATTCCGATACAGTCTTTCTCCAAGTCAATCTGGGAGGCCCAACCTGTTGCTTTGCATTCGGGTTCCTCTGGAAGGCACAGGACGTGATTTCTTTTCATTTCTTTGCAATGTTCAATGTTCAGCTCCGAATTCTCAGTAGTGGTGGTATTTTTTTCTGAGGGGCGGGTCTGATAGTCTCAAGCCCAACCTTCTCTCTTTACTAGGCTTAATACCGACTAAAAGAGGTTAAGGAATACGTTGGCTGGGAGTCGAACCCGGTTCAAGTGCGTGACTGGTGCGTATTCTACCGCTGAGCCACTGATGTATAGAGTGTAATACTGTATGATAATTGAGGATCAGTTGTATTCGCCTTGTAGACAAACTTTGAATGTAGCTGTGAATTTCTTCAAGTGAATAAACTCTAAATTCTAATTAGTTTGAAAAGCAAACTTGTTTATACATTGAATAAGAAAGAATTCAACATCATGGGATTAAGATGAATTAGACGCAGCCAAGCATCACCGTTTCAATTAATACTTGACTGAAAATCTGTGTATAAACAATGTTAAATGATTAGCCTGATTGGCATTACTTTTTTGTTTTGTTTTTTTTTTTTTTTTTAATTTCAGAAAATAAGCCTACACAACTAACTGTCTTCAACTATCAAATATGTCAACTTAATTTTCGATTTGCTTCAGTTCTTTTGGTTAGATCGTCACATGAATGGTGACGGTATTTATCTTATTGTTGAGATGTTTGTTTGTCAAAACATCATATGCACAGATAAAGCAAAAAAAAAAACACATCTAACTAAACATCTCTGATTTCTTCATACAATCGAAATATATTCTGCATCATACTTATATGGTATATTGATTTTTGCAGAAATGGTATAACAGATCTAGAGACACTCTAACTTGCCAGCTTCCGAATAGCTCAAGTTTTAGTTACAAGTATATGGCTAGTCATTGAGTTGAATCTTGTTTTCATTATCGTGGAGGAGATCGTTTCCTACTGCCTAAGAGCTTTAGATGCTGTTGGTAACATCATGATAGCCACTCCTTCAATGTGTCTGTGGTTGTCGTTTGGATGACCAGAGTAGATTATTTACCCTTCCAGTTAATAATTCAGGGAGTCCACTTCCATTCTATCCGATCTCATAGATTCTGAGCACTTCTATACCATATCTTCTCATCTCTTTAGTAATCTCAGTAGCTTTCTCAGATTCAAACAAAGTGCGGACATTCCACGTCCCTATGGGTATTTCTAGTTTTATCGAAGAAGACACATCAACTGACTAGGTTCTTGAAGGATTTCATCAGCCTGTGTCATCCTGACTCTACAAGTAGAGTGAAGAATAGGTTTGTTTTTGATATTTTTCGCCTATGTGTTGAAGTTTCTGTCGCGACTGGATTAGATTCTCAAGGGGTGAGGTCACTAACCTGAGGTACAAACTTCT